CTGTGAGAGAGATAGAGGGCCTTGTGGTTTTCGGGGAACACGGACCGAAGTATGATCTGTATCATGAACCAGGCAGCCACGAAAGCGAGAGCAGCAAGGATTCTGCACCCTGAACCCTAAAGTCTATGATGGACGGCAGCAGAAATACGCAAAGAAGCAACATTATCATATCGTCTTGGCACTCGTCAGGTTGCCGTCGATGTCTGGTCGGTGTACTGGCAAGTTTCCGTGCCTTTATAGATCGTCGTACGCCCGTTAAGCCGAAGCTTTCCTGCATGCTGCCTCAAGCCGCAGACTGAAGGCAATGAGGAAACCGACCTGACGCGCGCAAGCGAGGAGGAGTTCGAGGTTGGCGGGCTTTAGGATTCAACCGTTGAGCACTGCCGATCCTGCTCATCCAGACGCAAAGCCCTAAGCCCCAAAGGCCGAAAAGGCATCCCATTGCAAAAGTACCTAGACCAAAAGGGAAGCTCCGTTCATGATTCATCCTGAGGGCCTTGTCTTAGTCGGTTCTTGCTGGCGTGGATTGAATTGTCTTGGTATGAGCTACAGCGACGGATTTTCGGATCTAGGCTGATGGTAGGGCTGTGGGGCATATTTCTGAACTTTCAAGTGGCGATTGTCACGCCTTAGCATCCCCACTTACGGACCCCGAAGCGGGAACATTGCTTTGTCGGAGTCGAATTGCGTTGCCTGAAGCGGTTTGGGTGTCGGGCAGGGAACCGAAGCTGCAAAGCCTGAACCCTGAGCAGTTTTTCAGACCCCTGCCAACCCCCCTTGAAGCAAGCTCCCACCATATATTGATCCCATTTCGATGATGCTGCTGACAACGACCACAGTGGCACGGATGGCTATAGTGATGATGGAGAAGAAGATGGAGGTATATCTGGCGGTTGTACTGCTGATGGTTCTGCGATGGTCATCACGAATGTGACGATACTGTCGGGTGTATTTCTGCCTCCTCGGTCGTCGTGATCCCCTTTACGTTCACTCTCGTTCGGTTCCGAAGCTAGGATTATGTTGCCGCCGTCCTAGCAGTACATGTAGTAACGCAACGCAGCTAAACCGCGCAGCCTATAATTCCTTAAACCTACAGTAAAGCCAAAACCCTAAACAAACTGTACCGTAAGTGTGAGCGCCGAAACTGTACTGTAGAAAGGAGCCGATCTTGACCTCCCCAAAGGAAACCGAAGCCTGAAAACACACCAGCTCTGCACAAAGAGGCAAGAATCCTGACGTCCACCCGGGGGAGCATGAGACCTAAGCAAGGTGGTTGGTTTTTGGCTGTGTTATGAGCTACAAACACTCTAAGAGGAGCTGCCTTATTTCTAAACACTACTACTTGTCATTGTGATTTTCTCAACAAGTTCCCCCGAGCATCCAAGAGCACCCCAACACCGCCATTGTATAAAACCTAGTCTCCAAAACCACGCCAGAAAATCCTAAACCCTGAAGCAAGACCCTTTGCAGACTCCGGTGAAGCGGCTGGGGGTCTCTGGGGGCACGGCACCTTTCTTTGCGCTGCGCCTGCCGATGCCTCAGAGCCGCTGCGGCTTGAGTCTTTTCAATCCAAGAGATAGGATTTCGAGTTTAGGAGGCATAGCAGTCCTGCTCAGAAGTTTTTATAGTTTTGAAAGCTAAGCTTTCAAGTCCGGGGGTTGCGAGTTTGCTTCATTTCGACCTGAGGCTTTGTTTCGCACTACCCATTAGTCTCCGTACCAGTCCTTTTTGGGATTACCTGGTAGGATTCTAAGATAACCCCAAAAAGGAGCCACAATGGATCCTAGAGGTAAACCCTAAAAGCCACAGCATTCTCGCCATTCAGGGTCTTTGGCTCGACTGTTGGCCTTTTGGTGTTTGTAAATCTGCGAGTCCCGGAGCTGGGCCCAGCGGTCGCTTCCCGTACTCTGCTGTCGCATCTGAGCCTGTCTGCTTCGGGTTTAGGATTGGGGCGACAGCGAGAGAAGCCTGCTGTAAAAGGGATTAGGGCTTTGCTTGATGTGAATTCTCGGCTTGAGGCGTCAAAGCACGCAGGGACGCTCCGCGACCTACTACATAGGCGGGATCTGGCGGGACTTGTCAAGAGGCTGTCACGAGCGGCATGTCGGCTGTCTTGGCTTCGTATCGCAGAGATCATGAAGACCTGAAGCCGCAAAGCCCAACATCCGCTAGAATCAGACCAGCACCTCCAGTCTTTCATGAACCTTCCTAAACATTCGAGGGTTTGGGGTCTAGAGGGTTTGGGGGGGCTGTGGGTTGAGGTTTAGTGTTTTTAGGGTTTTGGGGGTCGGGTTTCGGTGTTTTGGCTTTGGGATCTTGGTCTTGGTTTTTAGATCTGACCTTTCTCAGGCCTGACAAGGCTTGCAAGAAATAGATGGCATCGGCGCAGTCAGAACAGCTCATCTGTCCTGCCGGCAGATTCCCTCCAAGTTTTACGCGTGTAGAGTGTGTGGTGCAGAACGGACGGCCAGATTCTGCACTTCAAACGCTTCCAAGCACCCTTTATGCCGTAGGAGTCTCAGTCGAACTTCGCACACCGTTGCTGGACATTCATGCGCACAGTCTTGCTAAGCGGAGTTTATAAGCCCCACATTACATGTTTGAAGACCCATAAGACCTAAACAACAAACCCCTAAATACCGTAAGCGGGAGTGGTTTCAAGCTGCTGCTCTGACAGGAAAAGACCTCAGCCGGGCCAGTGACGAGGTGGACTTCTATGAGCAGGCGCGTTTAGGGTTTAGGGCATGGGGTTACGTGTTGGAAGCAGACTGACTTAGACTTTGGTGTATAAGGCTTTGATGTATGTTTCGTATCTGTGTGATTAAGGAGATTCACAGCTTGAAACAGGGTTTCTTAAATCCGGGAATACACATAATTACATAAATTCAAGCAATATATATATATATATATATATATATATATATATTAAACATATATACATATACTTAGATATGTATGCAAACATATACACATAAACATTACATATACATAAGCATATACACATACGTATACATGCACATACGCATACCCTACGAGTCCATGTGCTCATATAGTATATACATTGCCCTGAATGTAGTCCCTATACAGGTACGTTGGGGCTCATGTAACTCTATACGGATACATGGACCCTTATAGGGATACACATACACATACACACATACACGCACACACACTCATGCAGGCGTACACACAGACACACATGCGCACGTACACTCATAACACATACATACGTACATACATCAAGCATGAGACAAATATACATATATTCAGTCTGTCTGTCAGAATATCAAGGAGCCCCTAAGTACAACCTTAGCCCGTAGAGCCTGCAAGACACGGGTGTCTATAGAAAGCCCGATCAACATGCTGTTGTATTCACCCGCTCGATTTTGGACATCCGACCTCAGAGGCCAAAGTTTGCGCAGACACGCCGCACCCTCAGAGGGTTTAGGAAGTTTGGGCTTTTTTCGTGCATGAGGGTCCCAGTGTTCGAGTTTTGAGTTTCGAGTTTTTGAAGGGTTTGGGGTTTAGGCTTTCTAGGTAGCCACTGCTATACACTGGGTGTTGATGACAAAACATTGCTTCACACTTGAAATCAGTGTCCAGCAGACCTGGTCAGACGTTGTTCTGACTCAGCTCCCGGACCTCACGAGAGCATGTTATCGTGATCATGGTGTTGTTCTGTGTTGGTCGGCTTTTCCTGACTCGTGGTCACATAAGATTCAGTTGTTCGTTTCACTTGAGAGATAGGTCTTGATTTTCGCGATCCTTGGCAACACGTCGGAGGGTCATATTCTGGCAGCCAGCAAGCCCAGTGTCAAAAAAGGCTTTCTAGGTAGCACAACTTGAGCATTTTGGGGCCTAACCCCATGCAGCGAAGGTGTGTAGCGTTTTGGAGACGTCTCCAGCGACTACAATGCTGCGTATCTGGCTGTTCTCCTTCCTGATATTGCGTAGCACCTGTGAATTGACAAAGGTTTAACCTGCACTCTGAAACTTACTAGGGCCGAAACAAGTGCCAGTACTATTCTGGGGTTCCTTATCATAATCTTGGACTCATTCTTCCTTGAACCCTATTCTAACCATCAAGGCACCTTTGAATAATAGGATCCTTGGGCAACAAAGCCCTGATGCTACTCGTTTCACAGAGCTCTGAAGCTTCTTAAACCCTAAGCCTTTAAGCGCCTAAACCCTGAACACTCATACGTGGGCTTCAATGCTTGAGCCTGCCGCTGTTCAACCAAGTACCCCGCAATGCGGGCATCGTCCTTGCCAAGTAGGAGGGAAAAAACCCTCGCAACAGCAACGGCAACAGAAGCTGCAACAGCAACCGGGTCCTGAGGTACAAGCAGCCATGCATATGCCTATTCAGTCGTATCCAAGATTCATCCTGGATTTGATATTCACTGCATGCCTCAACTGGGCAGACTTCATATCCGACTGGTGGGTGGTATTACAATATGGCTGTGTCGCGGCATCAAGTCTGAGCACCGGCTGCGGTCCAGCGGAAGCTGAGGTGGCGAGATGCGAGGCCCATCCATGGTGGTTTGCAGTTGGGATCACATTGCTGGTTCTCTCCAGCGCAATACAAGCCTTCTGTTGGGCAGCTATGGCTGTGGATGGCGAGTATGTTTTCCACCTTCCACAGGTGCTACTGCCAAAAAGTAGGTGTGGATATCGCGCCTTTCTCCTCTGGATTCTTGTCTAGCTTGTTTGCAGCTGCACTATGTGCTGGATATCGTTGTGGCTATCCGGGGAGGTTTCGTTGAGACAGAAGTGTCTTGTTCCTGAGGGACCTGGTCACGAAGATCCTGGAGAGTGCTCCGCAGACCTACTTTCAGTCATATATCCTCTTCGCTCTCGGCTCGCACGGAGAGTTCCTCAAGCTCACCTCGATTTGCATCTCCATCTGTGCGCTGAGCCATGGCTTGGTCAAGTTCGGCATAAGTGATCGACTATCTCCCTACAACAGTCCGCTGTACCGCTTCTTGGGGTTCCTGTGGATGTCAACGGACCAAGCTATGAGATCTACTGGCTTCGTTCTGGTTCTTTCTTCTGAGCCCCGAACTTACGGGCTGATGGTCGTCGTGGTAGGCTCGATGGCAATCTGCATACTTTTCGTGGTCTTTACTTGGAAGACGGGACATGAACCTGTTTACGGGATCGTCTCGTTAGGGCTGCTGGCATTCTTTGGATTGTATTTGGTTCCCGCGATTGTCATCATAGGAGACAAGGAGAAGCAAGACACGGCACGACCACTTTTGGTTACCCGCTGGATCGAGACCGCTGCTTGTGCATTCATGGCTTATATGTTTGGAAAGACATCTTGCGGCTACACGCCCGCCTCCGAGGTGGCTGGCCTGGTCGGCCTCATGAGCTTGAACATACTGTTGTTTGGGCTCCTGAGCCTGTGCTTCAATCAACAGACAGGTGAAGTCACATGGTCTCCTTGCAGCGCAGAAGGGAGCAAGGATCTGAAGTGCAATTCAGCTCAGGTCCAGCAAAATGTCGTAGCATGCGGTCCAGCAGATGGCCTTTCATCAGCAGGGTTCGAGAAGTTCACAGGCGTGGCTGTCAAGGTAGAGGACATTGGGGACTCCAACGGTGCTGTGGCAGAGGCTCTTGAGAATCGTCAGACGGCCGACGACCCACCTCCGGCGCAGAGGCAAAAGAGCAAAGCGAAAAGAAAGAAGATGGTGATTGTCAAAAGAAAGGCAAGGAAGCCACCATCACAGCGAAGTCCAGAAGCAAAATCAAGTACGTCACCAGATGCTTCTGTGATTGGGAGCGATCAAACGCAAGACGCCTTCCCTGGTGACGTGGCATGCGAGATACCTGAGGCCTAGGATGTCTATAGTTTCTGCTCCTCCGACACAACGGCTGGTGCCCTCGGTATCTGCTCCTGAAAACCTTTGATCCGATACTGCCTGTACCTGCAACTTCCAGCTGTACTGAGTCGGTATCTGACCAGCCTTCGAACTCACCCTGTCTAGTTCTTTTACCCTGTAAAGTTGTATCATGTGGTAACCCTTTTGCACACATTCAGCCCTTTGCGTCACACAATGGTCGTTTCTCCTACTGAATCCTTATTCGACTGTTTGCTGTGACTGGGAAACGTCCCGTACCGGCCATCTGAACCCTAGCTACACTTGGTTTTGAACTACGGTTTCATCGTCAGTCAAGACCTATAATTTGTTTTCTTGGGTTGCCCGAGTTAGGGTCCTCTGTAGCTGTAACTTCTGTTTAGGTGTGTTTCAGCCTCCTGATTCGGGCGACTTCATCAGCCCCCTCGAAAGGGAGTGGGGATCCAACCACCAGTTTTCAGTGAGTCTGAGTCGGTGTCCTGCGTAGCCCTAAGATCCGTTCTTGTGCTGTCCGACTCAAACCGACTTCGATGAGCTGTGAGTGTAGTCGATGCGAACCAAGAGCCTGGTCTGGCTGTGTCGCAGTTGCGAGAGCGTAAACCCTGGCGTGAGCACCGAAACCCTGAAACCCTAGAGCTCCAAAGCTCTGTGCCCTTCGACTCCTGCGGAATTCCGCCGCAGCCTCGCGGCCAAGGCCAGCTGAGGCAGCGCTAAGGCAGGGAACCCAGCAATGGGTTCTTTTGAAGTTATGGGCTTGAGGGTGTTTTGTGTGAGGGGTTTAGGGTTTGGGGTTCGGTCATTCGTAGTGTCGGGATGAAGCCGGTGGTCTAAGTGCAGGCTTTTAGCATGGGGTTCAGGATTTCGGAGTAACCCGTATGACTTGCAAGGATAGGTTTGGTTCTAGGGGTCTGAGGGCGCTAGATTTCTATATCAAGTTTTGGGTTGGAACTGTGGTTATTTATGTATATTGCAGGGCCCAAGTTCTACTTCCGTATTTTTCCGTGCAAGCCATTTCTTTCCCGGATCAATGAAGTACCCGACACACCGAACACTCCAGGCCCACAACCGAGGCTATTCAAGCATGACGCGATGGTAGCTTATGGAAATCACAAAACCCATCAGAGTGCAGTCATCCGAGGCCCACCCCCAAAACCTAACAATCACTGAACCAAGAACTATGCTAGCAAGGCAGCCTCGGCCCAAGCCCTAACATCCTTGAACAAGAATTTATGCCAGAGAAGCAGCCTAAGCCCTTGAGTTTTTGCACCAAATAATATGTAGTGCAACCCACAATCGTCAGTCCTTCACCTGGGCACCTACCAACAAGGCCACTCTTGCAGTTTACCTTTCCGTATGCCGGCATCCTGACCGTCCATGAGGATTCCGGGTTTCTGGAAGGGGGTTGCGGGTTCTTCAGGAGTTTAGGGTTCAGGGGTTAGGGGTAAGGATTCCGGGTCACATTGAAAGCATTCTTTGAAGTCGGTGTCCATGTACATGGCGTTATTAAAGCTTCAAATCTGGAGTGTGGGGTTTGGGCTTCATCATGACTGTAGAGCTCAACTTACAAGCGGTAAAGAATTATCAGGCAAGCTTGCATGGAGTCGGAGGTAGGGTTCCTTTTTTGGGGTGGCCGCATATTTAGTTTCCTAGAAGGTAATTCCAAAAAGGAACTACTATAGAGCCTATGGGTTATATGACACGAAATCAGAGTCCATAGTAGTTCCTTTAAAGGATTTTGGGGTTCATGTTTGGAATCCTATCAGGTAATTCCAAAAAGGAACCACTATGGAGCCTCTGGGTTATATGACACGAAATCAGAGTGTACCGCTCCGGACCGTGCGCCAACTCAGCTCGAAGTTTGGAAGGACTGGAATTGGGTTGAAGTTAAGACGGTTTAGGGTTTAGGGTTTAGGGACTTTTGGGCGATACGTTCATCGATGTTTTCGGGGTGGTGCACGAGAACTCTCGCAAGTGCGCCGTGGTTCTGAGTTTGCTTTTCACATGAGTCTTTGGTGCTCCTTCTTGGTTTGGCCTGGTGTGACTTTTGGTTCCTGCTATGTGCAGCCCTTTGTGCTCTGTTCTGGGTCAGGCCTTCGGCTTAGTTTCCGGTTCGGAAGTATGCAAGTTGATAAGAAATTCCGAGAGGTTTGGATTTAGTTATGGTGACCATCACCACCAGACGTATACCAGCAGATGCTTAGACTTTGCTTCCAAACCAAGCAACCGTGCATGAGTCGTGCATGTAAGAGAGCAACTAACAAGATAATTCATCAGCAATGAGAACAGATATGGTAACAGTCGCATTTGCCATGACAGTTATGTGCAATTTCCATTTAAGGTTTTGTCCCCAAAACAAATGCATGGGCCTTCGCTTGACAGGAAGGTCAGGAGGACAAGAAGCCTTTAGATCTTTTGGTCCGGGACCTGGCGATGTCCCCGCGGCTTTCAAGCGCACCTGCCACAGGTTTGCCAGGCTGGCAATAGCATCCTACGGCCGTCATCCTCACGGAAGACATCATGTGGAGTCTGTCCTGTCATTTCTTAAGCCTCAGGTTCAAGCGGTTTAGATCCCTAACTTTACACCGTCCTAGTTGTGCACGCATGCCCACGAAAGGCCCTGCCTCCCCCGAAGCCCCAAACCCGAATCTCCGGCGACCCGGGCTTGCGGTTAACAAAGGGCCTGAGCTCGGGGCGATCTCGGACCGTGCAAGTAGCTTGTGAAAAAAGACGTTCAAACAGGACCGAAAGCTGGACCTCAGACCCGTAAAATTCTCATTAATTAAAAACCCTGCCCAGGCCTTAAACACCATCCCCTGCGCCTTAAATAGCGCACTCATTGAGGTCCTTCGAAATTTGCGTGACGGCTGCACGAAGCTGCGGCTGCTTGACATCAAGATCGGCCAGAAGCCATGGGCCCAGGAAGTGAACGGCTTAGGGCTTAATTATAGGGTCTAGGGGCAAGCCATGAGATGCATTTGTGTGTGTGAGGGTTTCACGCTGTTCTGTGGTTCGGTGTATCTTATTACGAATAATATGGGTAACAAAGCCTTTGCCTGGAAGAAGGCCTCCGGTCTTAGCTGAGAAATGTATGCAGCACGACAGTGCTCCGAAAATCGTTTTTCGCAGCAACATGCCACCTTCTAAGCATGCCGTCTGATGGCTGTTTTTCAAAATCAATTCAAACCTTAAACAGCCGTGTCCGTCTCACGAACGTCTTCCCGTTTCCTGAGGACGGCGCAGGCAGGTTGGCAAGGAAAGCTTGGCACTTAGCCGGTCAGGGTTTTAGGGTATAGGGTTTAGGGCTTCGGGCTTGTAGCCAAAAGGGTCTAGGCTCATTAGGGTTTAGGATTTGGTTTTCGGGTTTTGGCTTACGATGGTTTACGGCTTACATGGGCTTTGGAGTTTCTCTGCGGCCCCGGGCGAGTCCCCAGGACCAACAACAGGGCATGCAGTTTTGCTTACGGTCCACTCACCCTCAAGCTACCCGGCCACACTCGCACTGTGACTCACACTGGCTCCTTGAAGGTACCTTTGAGAACACCCTTGGACTCCTAGAAAGGGGGCCCCTAACTTCAAGAATTTCCCACAAAGTCTCGAGACTGCACCAGCCCCTCGAGGGGTCCTTGTCGCCAGGGTCCCACTGTATTTTGGAGGACTGGGGTCGCATGTTATAATAGGGAACCCTAAGCAAGTTCGAAGACTAGATTTAACGGCAGCACTTTACTTTCCTAGTTACCGTGCCCACAAGTACCTACCTCAAGCTCTAACCCTCTGATGGTTTTTTGAATTCTTGGGTTGTCCTGTCGCTTGGGACCTTGGCCAAGTGTCAAAACCCTAGACCTTCCACCCCAAACCCCCTACACTCTGGACTGACGCCTATAAACACTAAACGCTAAATTTTGCCTGTTCCGTGCGAGTGCGCGAGGCCAAACCCTAAATGGTATCATTCCCGTTGGTCTTTGGGCCTGGGTTTCTTCTGTCCGAGGTCTCATGCAGCTGCGCTTCGGCAGGCGATCGTCGTGATGGCCCCGGCTGGCTGCAGATATCGGAGTCCAAAAGCCAACAGACCCTAATGTAGAACCCATAAAGGGCGCCATACGGATCCTGGATTGGTTGTTATTCGCTTACTTCTAGACAACCCAATGTGACACCTTCCATATGTTTCAAGGCGTTTGGTGTAGGATTTTTGCCTGAGGACGTAGTCTTTGACGGTTTGTAGTGTTTTGGTGGTTTTGGGTTCACGGCTCAAGAGCAGAACCCGCTATATGCACAGAGTACATGCCTATAAGCAACACACAACATGTGATATGATATCAGAAATTGGGGTTGAAGGGTTTCGGGATGAAGCGCTTGTGTGCCGACCAACCATGGACCAGAAGCACCGCACAGCGTCGGCTTCAAAAGCCCTGAGAAAGGTTGACCACGACATCAACAATAACAACGACAACAACATCCATACCAGAATCCAGAGCCGAAAATGGTCAGAACATCCTGTCCACCGCAGCCGTAGACCCAAGATTCCACCCTCCTGCCCCCAAGACACAACCAAGTCAAAGGACACTAAAGGACACCGTGCAGACCCACAAACCCTTCCCCGGCACCACCTAACCCGAAGCCCGGTGCCGAAGCCCTAAACTTTACCAACACCGAAACCCTAAACCCTAAACCTCAAAGGAGCCGCGATAGCTCAGTTGGGAGAGCGTCAGTCTGAAGATCTGAAGGTCCCAGGCTCGATCCCGGGTCTCAGCTCCAAACCCTAAACCCTAAACCCTAAACCCTAAACCCTAAAACCCTAAACCCTAAACCCTAAACCCTAAACCCTAAAACCCTAAACCCTAAACCCTAAACCTCAAAGGACGGCACCACGAACTCCGCCGGCGAGGGGTTTAGACTCGAGGGCTTCGACGGCCAGCCGAGCACCCTCGACTCCATGGACCCCTCGCCTTGAAGGGGGCTCTTAAGAGGTTTGTGTAAAGGATATA